AGGATAGACCAGAAGGTTTAGAAATATTATCGGATGCCTGGAAGGCAAATGAATTAGCAAAGGAAGAGAAGAAAGCCCAATTCCCAAAATGCATCGAATGGAAACCAGCTTCTATTCAGGTGGACGGAGAGGGAAAGAGCAATGTTGTTGCTAGTGATGCGTCAAAGGATACCCCGAAGCAGGTCGAGAGGTCTTATAGTACTAGTGCGGTAGATGACATCAAGCAAGTTCATTTTGAGGCCGAGGAAGAAGCTGCCTTGGCAAAGATTGATGCGGCGATCGAAAAGGAAATTCAATCGAGAGAGAATCAAGCGGCATTTGAGGCGGAATTGAGTGTTGTTGCAGCACGTGTACCGACACCTCCTATTGCGCTAGTTCAGTCTCCTGCTCTCACAGTCGAGACTAACTTCGAGAAATCGGAACGTTCGCGATCACCGGTGAGCTCTGCTACATCAGCTACCTCAGCTTCCGACCTTCAATCATTGAGCTATGCTGAACATCTCACCAAACTTGCGGAAGGTGGCAGGCATGCTGAAATTCCCGCAGTATTTGAGGCTATGCTTGTCGGCGGTATCAAACCAACGGCAACTGCATACAATGCTCTTCTTGGTGCCGCGATTCATCTACCCGCTGATCAGATTCAAGTCGTTCCAAAGGCACTTGATGTTTATTCTGATATGCTTAGACGAAAGGTTTTGCCAGATACGGCGACATACAACACACTTATCAAATTGATTGCTTCTCGATCCAGAACTGTAACTTCATTGAAGCAGACGTTGGAAGAGAAACGTATTAGATTTGGTGGAATGGAAGAACCTGGCAAGTTTATGTTTGCTTCTAATGAAATGGAGTTTGCTATTCTTGCCGAAGATGACAGGTTAGATCTTGCCGTTAGGTTGTTTGATGCATCAATCTCGTACCACACGGATCGTTCATTCCCAGCAGAGACTTATCATCAGCTCATTTCTGCGTGTGCTGATGCTGGTCGTGTCCCAGATATGGTACGATTGTATGAACATATGGAGACTAACAAGGTTGTACCATTGGCTGCTACTTTCCCACACATGATTAAAGGATTTGCCAAATCAGGTGATTTGAGTAGTGCTGTCGAATGTTACAATGAGTACAAAGAGTTGGCCGTCGCAGATGATAGTGGCAAACTTGAACTGCCCGATCGTCAAGACGCACAAATCTACGCCTCTGTTGTTAGAGCTTACGTCACTTCCGATAAAATGGAAGGTGCCATGAGGTTTTACAACAAGATTGTTGAAGGCTACGGAGAAGATGTTGAGGCCTTCAGAGATGTACTTATTGGTGAAGGTTTTGTCCAGGGTCTTCTCGAACGCAATATGTTGACTGATGCTCTTAGCTGGGCTGAAGGTCTTCAACCTACCACCAAGTCTATGGTAATGAGCACAATCTCAATGCATGCTGCCGACAAAGGAGAGAGATCTGTTGCTGTCGCTGCTTTCTCTCACGTCAATCCCGATCCGATTATCGCCAAGCCAACAATGGCATTGTTGGCTTTGAGTGTTCGCAGTGGTGACGTCGCTACCGCTCAAAGATACTGGAATATTCTCACTGCCGCCGAAATGCCTGTATCATCCGCCTTTATTGAACCAACTGCGATGTTCGCTGTTGCTATGATTGGCTCTGGACAGGTTCTCGAGGGACTCGCACAATCTGAACAAATGTTTTCAAGAATTAGAGAATCTGCCATCGATGTAAATTCTCACCTTGCTGATGAGATTGACGAGGGTGTTGAGTTCATCGCCCGATTCATGAAGTCACATGGCATTGTCGATCCCCGTGACGCGGCCGTGGCAGAAGCTCTATACCAACAAAACTTCCAACCTGCTGTATATGTTGCACCACCTACATTCGAGGATACTTTTGATCCATATGCCGCTTCCACCGATTTCAAAGGCTCAGCTCTTATCGCCGATGAACTTGAGAGAGGTGCTGGTCGTGGTAAAGCATCTAAGCTTAATGATGCCATGGGAAGATTCAGAAATATGCGTCGTGCTGGTCGTCATCCAAGATACATCACTTATGCTAAGCTAATTTCTGCTGCTGCTCGCGAGGAACGAATGCCCTTGGTCAATGATATCCTTGGTATGGCACGATCTGACGTACCTTTACTTGTTCGATATCCTATCGTTCGATATGGTTGGGTTTCAATCCTCGACGCTATGGTTGGTGCTTGTTTGACTCTTGGAAATCGCAACCTTGCTGCCCAATACCACCAAGAACTTCTCGATATGGGTGCTGCACCAACAGCTAACACTTTCGGTCTTTACATTACAACTCTGAAGGAATCAACCAAGACTTTCGACGAAGCTTCAGAAGCCGTGAAGATCTTCCACCGCGCCAAGACTGAAGGTGTCGAACCCTCATCCTTCTTGTATAATGCTCTCATTGGTAAACTCGGAAAGGCTCGTCGTATTGATGACTGTCTCTTCTACTTTGCTGAGATGCGCGCTCTTGGTATTCGCCCAACCAGTGTTACTTATGGTACAATTGTCAATGCTCTTTGCCGTGTTAGCGACGAAAAGTTCGCCGAGGAACTGTTCGAAGAGATGGAAGCCATGCCAAACTACAAGGCTAGACCTGCTCCATACAATAGCTTGATGCAATTTTTCCTCACTACCAAGCGTGATAAGTCAAAGGTTCTCGCATACTACGAACGAATGAAGTCCAAGGGTATTCAGCCAACTAATCACACTTACAAGTTACTTGTCGATACTCATGCTACTCTCGAACCTGTTGATATGTCAGCCGCTGAAGCTATTCTCGATACCATTCGTAGCAATGGCGAGAAGCCAGAAGCTGTTCACTACTCTTCATTGATTCACGCTAAGGGTTGCGTTATGCATGATATGGAAGGTGCTCGAAAGGTTTTCGATTCCGTCATGACTGACTCCTCTATCCGACCTCAAGCATGTCTCTACCAAGCCTTGTTTGAATCCATGGTTGCCAATCACAACGTCGCTGATACCGAATCCGTCCTCGCCGATATGTCTGCTAGAGGTGTCGCAATGACTCCATATATTGCCAATACTCTTATTCATGGTTGGGCCAATGAGCGCAACATTGAAAAGAGTAAATCGATATTCGCAACTGTCGGAAGAGAAAAGCGAGAGCCAAGTACATATGAAGCAATGACTAGAGCTTATCTTGCCGTTGAGGATAGAGAAAGCGCTAAGGATGTTGTTCAGGAAATGCTTAGCAGAGGATACCCAGGCGCTGTTTCCAACAAGATTCTGGAATTGCTTGGTGGTGGTCATGCTGAAACTTCTTGAATATCACTTGATCGCATTCACTTGGTTTCGACCCTTTGGTCCGCTCTTTGATTCGAGCTCTTTGATTCGAGTTTCTCGGCTGTCTTTATTTCGCACTGCACAATACCACTTTTTTTTTGTTCAAGTATGTTATGATACCCGTGCAATGGCACATCCAAATGATGATTGTGGATTATGGGTATCAAGGTCTTGTTCGGCAGCAGTTGAGCTTGCTTGCTTGTACACTTGCATTCTATTTCAGCTGGCTGGTCAGACTTAGATTCTTCTTTTCCTATGTTTGTTTTATTAGATACTAAAACATCCGAATTCTTTTGAGATTGTCGAGTTTTTGTTTTCAAGAACTCTTCGATGTCGAGAAGTGGATAATGGCGTTTTGGAGGATATGGGGTGGAATTTAGTGTGTGTTTTGTAGCTACTGGTAGCATGGCGTTTTGGAGGTGAGGGACTGGAATGAAATATATGGATGCACGGTGTATAGGACACGGATATGCATGCATCAAAAGATAAATCTCAACTCTACATATGAAATCAGAAGGTGGGTGACGGAAGGAAAGCGAGCAAGTAGTTATGAAAGTGGGTTTTCCTTGGATGAAACCGGGAATTTACTTACCTAGCTGGCTTAGCTTTGGCTTGGCTTGTCGATGATGATGATGGATATATTACAGATACATATCGGATATACATGTAATAATAAAATCAGAAAGATAGTTAACATTTAATTTTGTTGTTTGTTTCAGTGGGTTGTTGATGTCTTGTGATTATCATATGTGATCTGATACGATATCTAGTGAAACCAAAAGGGAGAACTAGAGTTTGATCTTGACAAAGTGATGGATGCATATGATCCTCATATATGATATAATGTATTTTTACTACTACATTACTCTCGTATATTTCATTTTATTATAGCTTCCTGTGATTATAGATATTCCTCTTTGATGAAGTAAGATTACATTAATACTTATTAATATCCCAACGCCCCCCTACAAACAAACCCATCACACCATCCAATTGACCTAACAAACGAAAACAAATCAAGAATGGATAGATCGTTCTAGCGAAGAAATGGAGGAGAAGAAGCTGGAAAAATTGGGGGTTGTTTCTGTTTCTGTTTCTGTCTCTGTTTCGATGTTGGGATTGGGATTGGGATTGGGATTGGGATTGGGGTCGATGTCGGTCTCTATTTGTGGGTGTGATTGTGGAGTGTGAGTGGGAGTGGGAGTGGGATTGAGAATTGGGTTGAGAATAGGAGTTTTATGTGTTTGGTGTAGGTTTGAATGTTGTGTTGAGATGTGGGGGTGAGGTGGAGGTTGAGATGGTGATTGGGGTTGGGTTTTGTGGTTGAGTATTAGGTTGAGTGTTAGGTGGAGAAAGAGATGGCGATTGGGGTTGAGGTTGTGAGTGTGATTGAGGGTTGGATGGGGGGTTGGATTGAAATAGAGTTTGAGATGATGTGTAGTGAGATGTGTGGTGAGGTTGAGGGTGAGATTGGAATTTAGATTGATATTGAGAGTTGAGTTGGAGATTGGATTGAGAATGGGGTTTTGATGTATTTGGGATAGGGTTAGGCTTGGATGGGAGGATAGGTTGAGAAGGTGATGGTGAGGATGTGTGGTGAGATGGAGCTTACGAGGGCAGGAGATCTTGACGAAGAGGTGGAGAAAGATATTAGGATTGAAATTGAGATTGAGATTGAAATTATGACTGTGATTGTGATTGGGATTGCGATAGCCCAGATGAGAAAAAAGACGAAATATCGAGTTCTTGATAAGGACCTGTAGGATGGGCGGGATAGAGAAGAATGTTGGGATTTGGTGGTGATATCCAGTTATTGGTGTTGGTGTTGAGATCGGTATTGGTACCCAAGAGGTTTGAACTTGAAGATGTGTTGTTCAGCTGTGAAGCTGGGTTTGAAGGAATATGGGATGTGATGTGCAGAGACTCGGGTTCGGACTCGAGATCGAGATCCAGATCGAGGGGTTCGTCCATGGCGATGGTGAAGGTGTCGTTTGTGAAGTCGGTTGTGGAATCGTTTTCGAGATTGGTGGGTTGGCAGTTGAAGGGAAGAGGGTTTGGAAATTCAAATTCAAATTCTGAGTCTGAGTCTAGAGGCTCGTCCATGGCGATGTGGAATGTGTTTGTGTATTCTTCATTTATAGGGGTGGATTGAGTTGAGAGGGGAAGAGGTATAGCGCTGTGTTTGAAGTTGGAGAGAAGATTCATCTGAGAATCTTGAGTTGATTGAGGTTTGTGATTAGTTGGTGATGGTGATATGACCCTATAGGCATGGCTTCCAGTTGACTTGAGAGATTTGGAAGAATCCAATTTCATCTCGGTACTTGTGTAATAGCCCCGCTGCCTTTCCTGACCGTCAAAAACTGTGGATTGCCTCGGGGGTTTTGAGATTTCCTCTGTAGATCCAAACAAATCATCGTCTGAATCCTCATACAAAGAAATATCAATTGATATCTCTTCTTTCGTAACCGTAAATCGATCCTGAGGTGTTGGTGTTAATGGAGGTGAAATTGAAACTCGAGGTTTCTTCATTCGTGTCCTATCTTCAAGAACCATTCTATGTGGTGAAAAAGATCGTCTCCTGTTTTTGGAAACCGAATGTTCAAGTTCAGGCTCAGCATCAGGTACTAGAGAAATCTCTGGTTCCATCGCATGCTTGACAACACATGTCAATAATCCCTTACCCTCCCCCATCGGTCCATTTCCCCATGGTATTTCATAGCGTTTCCATCTCTTCGGGCGCTTTTTGTTCAGATCCTCAACACACCTATCCACCCATTCCTTTCCGAGAGATGTAACCGCGAACAATGAGAACCACACGTTGCAAGTTAGTCCAGATTCCATATATATGAGATTGTACTCGTCAATGTTCGATTCTCCATTCCGGTCGAAGGAAGCGAGAGATTGTGTGAGAATGATTGGGACGATGTAGTCGAGATATTTATTGATTCCCCAATCAAATTTCTCCAACAAGAAAGGTTGTAGTTTCCTCTCATCAATTCTTCCACTCCATACATTCTCCAATTTTCTCAGTCTTTCGACAGAGGAAACAGTAGGTGACTTATAGAGACCTAAAATTCTTTCATCCGGAAAATTCCAAGGCACGCTGACTCCTGTATTCGAGTCCACAAAATGTTTCCGTAATTTAGTTCTCCAAGTATCGAGATCCTCTGATGTTTTCATCACCTCAAAAAGTTCCTTTGCAAACCCCAATTCAACAACCTTACTTGCCTTCCACACCCCACAACCATGCAATCCCTTCCCATAATCCCCTCCCCTCAACAATACAAAAAGTAACCAACCCTCCCTATCAAACCCTGGGTGTTTACTTTCAACAACACTCGCTTTATAAAGCACTATCTTATCCAAATCTTTCATCCCACTCCTCTTCGCCGTCCACCCACCCCCACCCTTCCCCCTTTCCTTCTTCTCCCAATTTCCCTCTTCCTCATCACTATAACAAAACCTCATCAAGAATCCACACCCAAACATCAACGCATCGCCATCCTCCGTCCAAACACAATCCACCACACCTCTCCTCTGCAACACTGCACATTCTGCTTCCGCCTCTCCAGGCGCCTCATGCCACTTCACTCCCAAAAGCCTCAAACAATCTTGCAAAACTTCGCTTTTATATTTCCACACTCCCCCTCCTTTAGCACCATATTTCTCGCCAGGTTTATCCGGACCATCTGCTACGAAAACGAGCTGAATGTTTAACTTCAAGAGCCGTAGAACAACAGATACAAGATTTCGCTCGTTGAGATGGAGATTAGAATATTCTGAGATGATTCAGCATCAGATTCCAAATCATCTACAAACACAGAATCCAAGTTTAAATCGTAAAAATATATACCTTTACAAAGTTTCGCTTTATTACTGATGTATAATTTATGTCTCCAAGTTGCCTCATCAACGGCGATTCGCAATGGTCTTTTATATTGCTCGAAATGCTGCGTTGCGTATTCGGCAAGTTTGACAATTTCTTTGCAGTCGGAGATGAAATCCCAGAGTCTGGTTAATACATGATGTATTAGTGATATTTACGTGTATTGTGACGGGTGGGAGCAAACGAAAAACTTACCCAGGAATACCCATTTTGGGGTTTGAGTGAAGGAGATGTGCACAGGGAGATGGTGGGGTGGCGAGCTAGCTTAATGAGGTATGTGGGTGGGTTTTGAGGTCGTTCGTCTGTGAAGAGATCAAGTTTCAATCAACATCACAGTATCAAAACTTGAGTTGGTTTTCACGAGTTAGTAGGTTTGATTTTTATGATGTTGGAAGATTGGTTTGAATAATTGAGGTAGGAAAAAGAAAAAGGAAAGTCTAATTCCTTTATTCGAAATCCGTATCCCTCTGATGTGTAAACAATATTTCTATCACATAATATATCAAGCCATTTCAATAGTTATGAGACAACTGACGAATTAAATTCCAATTCCAATTGGTTGGTTCTATGATCAAAAGTTCAAAACACAAATACAGTAGAGCTAAACTTGTCACTTGCAAAAATCCCGAGGAGGGTTGATTTGTTGGCATTGCTTTTCTTTTCAAATCGAACGAGTCAAGTGTCTGGATACACGGGAGTGCAATTCATTACCAAGGATATACGATTACTCCGCTTAGAATATTTCTTCTATATAATATTATATGCGAAGGCACTCTTCGCGGTAGATATGACCATTAAATCTTTGCAAGTATCGAACAAGCTATGTGCAGCACATGAATGTCAAATCAAAGGAGTATAAGAAAAACCAAAACACCTTCTAGTACTATCCGCTCAAGCAATTTGCGTCACATGAAAAAATGACTTATATATGATCATCAAGTCGTAAAGTCGTAAAGTCGTCAAATGAACTAACCAGAAAAGAATCCATCAAGATCGTCGTCCTTAATACCAGGAGGAAGAGGTTTTTTAGCGAGTGGTAAGACTTTGAAGACTTTGCGTGCATTTGGCGTTGCGCTGTGAATAGACGTTTGGACTGCTGGTATATATGCTGGCTTAGAAACATCAGAACCGTAATGCTCAAGTCGAGCTTTACGGATGGTATCCTGTTGTGATTTTTGGGATGAGATTGGGGTAATGGTGTGATTGCGAGCATGGGTAGTGGGAGTTTGGTTCTCTTCGTCCGAAGAATCATCGAGTGTGAGGTCGATGATCGTTTTCGGAGACTTCTTTGTAACTCCCAGCTTAGGGAGTTTTGGGCTCCTATCCCATTCTGGTGGCTTGGGCGACGGGTTCTCTTTGGTATAGGAAAAAATATTTCGAGCTTGATTTGAGACTTTAGATTGTGTGGGTGTGGATTCTATAGAAGCTTTGGCAACTGGAATAGGTCTCGATAAATGATCTGGTGTAGTTTTTGCTCTCTTTGAGGGTGGATCTTCGTGAGCGGAAGAGAAAGTCTTGGTCAGAGCTATTGGCGACCCAGCACGTTTCTTACCTCTGAAAATTGTCTCAGGAGATACCATGCTTCGATCACGCTCGGAAGTTGCTGGAAATGGTGGAAGGGCTTGTTTTGTACCGTGTTCAAGAATACACGTCAATAAACCCTCACACTCGGCCATCTCAGTGACTGGTGCTATCTTTTTGCTTCGACCTTGATTCTTAAGCTCATGTCTCAAAGCTTGTACGTCCATGGATGTGACCGCAGATAGTAGTACCTCTACATTCTTCTGTAGGGCCGATTTCTTCTTGGTAGTGATATTAAGCTTGTAGCAGTTGTTAATCGCTTCTTGCCCTGGCTGTGTGGACGCAAGAGAACGGATGAGAAGGATAGGTATGATATGTTTGGTGTATTCAGCTACCCCAAAATTGAATATCGCAAGTATGAATCTTTGTAATTCCATTTCGTCGAAAGAGGGGTCCCAAAACTTTCCAATGTCGCTCAAGATTCTTTCGGACGAGACTAAAGGCTTGTTGTAAAGCCCAACAATGTGAGGATCAGGAAATTTATCAGGCACGTGGACTCGGCTGTCGATTCTGGGGAGATATCCACGAAGTCGGTTCCTCCAAGCTGGAAAATCCGCATCAGATGCGTCGCAAAGTTCTTTACCAAAACCTTCCAGCGGATTCGCTATTTTTAAAGCCAGTTCCTTACCACAGTTTGCGAGACTTTTACCGTTTTTACTGTAATCACCCCCTTGCAAAACAGCGAATAACACGAGGCCTTCTCGAGTCAAACCTGGAAATTCTACTTGTATTTTATCGGCTCGATAAACCATGATGTTATCGAGGTCAATGTGACGCTTTTTCTCCTCTAGATTGTTGACCCGATCTTGATTTTTCCCAGTTTTCCTTTCTTTGGGCTTAACATAACAGAAACGTATTAGACATGTGCACCCGAACATGAAAGCATCCGCATCGTCTGTCCAAACAGCATCAACCACCCCACGGCTTTGTAAAGCTGCGCATTCGGCCTCCGCTTCACCGGGTGCTTCATGCCATTTTACGCCTAGGAGAGTCACTGTATTTTTGAGGAGTTCGTCGTCATGTGAAAGATATTTGTTCCGTGGCGATTGCGCACCATATTTCTCTCTCGGTCGATTACTACCGTCAGCGACAAAAATCAATTGAATATTCAATTTAAGTAGTTTCAAAATCTTGTAGAAAATGTTCCTCTCGTTTAGATGCGATTGTGGTTTCTCTGGGGACAACTGAATGTTAGCGGAGAACACCAATGTTTGATTCGGCATGGTGTGAAGGAAGATGTACCTTTACGAATTTCCACTTCCTTTTTAACTGGATAACACTTAAATTTCCAGATAGAAACATCCACAGCAATTCGAAGGGGCCTTCTTTCCCTCTCGAAATGCTGAGCAGCAAACGCAGCAGTTGAGATCTTCTCTCCGATATCAGCCCCGTCGAAAAGCTGCCAGAGTCTGAAGAACGAATATTAGTTAGAATAGTGAGCTATGACAAAACTCGGCTTACGCTGGTATGCCCATTGTATTAAATTTACAGCGGTGGAGCTAGGTATACTAGTTCAGTATCAGGTCAGATACGTCTAATTCATGTCAAGGAAGCATTGGGATCGCGTAGCGTCGCGTCGCGTAACTATCTGTGGAAACTTATCGTTAACTTAACCTTAACCTTATCGCAATCGCGTCTCAACCAAGTCATCACGTGTATTTCGCTTGTGCAAGTGCAATGCATTCAGAAGCGTCAAAATATTATCGAATGGCTCTATAATATTCTTTACGTTGATTGATCTCGTAAGAAAATGAAAAATGACTTACTCCATATCATGCTAGGGAACTTACAACCACTACAAAAACAGATACTTCCCTGATGCATATCAAAGCTGCTACATCATCTGCTCTTGATAAGACCAGAAGTTGGACGAGCCTTTTGGCCAGATATTGTAACTGCTTGCAATAATATATCGTTGCCTTGACAAGTTGACCTTCTCATTACACCACCAATGAATTGTACCCTAAGTTAAATAGCTTGTGCAGTATGACAACTTCCTCCAGTGCATGTTTTGGTGGTGTATTTACTGCTTCCAAAGGCTACTCGCCTAGTGTTGCTTCTCATTCATGCACATACCCAGTTGGCGTGTAATCTGAGTCTCAACAAGACATTCCAAAAAGATTAATGCTTCTAATTTGGCATTGATTAGTCTCAGAAATCATACTTTTAAGCAAATATATAATTCTTCTTTCGGCTGAGCAATAAAACATATAGACTCGAAACGACAGAGCAAGAGCCGCCTCCGAGAGATACTAATTGGCTCTAGTGGTTTAAAGATCAACAACTAAAAACCAACATGATGCTTCGTAATAAATTCTGATTCTGAATAATCAAGCTCTGCGCAAGCTAAGGCTGCAATAAATTCATATAATTCGTGATACCTACTTTCTCCTCACATATCTGAAAACCACATCCTGCGGCCTATTAACCTGCAACGTCAATTTCGGCGAACTATCCTTCAAGATTTCCATCAACCTCCTCCTCGCCTCCTCCTCTGTCTCTCCTTCCCTCCTCACAATCTCCACATTCCACTTTCGGAATATTTCATACAGCACGCCGACAAATTCTACTTGTGACATTTTCATCCCGGGGCAATAGCGAGGTCCATGGGACCAAGCAAGAAATGTGCCTTTGGGAGGCTCTCGAAAAGTTTCTTTATTTGAAGTGGAAGATGTTTTGATCCACCGCGAGGGCCGGTACTCTAATGAATCTGCACCCCATATTGAGGGTAAAGTGTGGATTACGGTGGTGTTGAGTAGGACTTCTGTTTCGGGGGGAAAGTTGATGTTTTTGATGGTTTGGGCTTGGGGTGTTCGGCGGGCTATGGTAGGGACTAATGTATATAGACGGAGCGTTTCGTACTAATTTCAGGTGGGTATCAAGTCAATTCCAAGTATCTCAAGTGGTTGGCTTTAAGATGAGGCTGGGAGATTGATACATACCATTAGTGCTAGAGAGCGAGTAAGAAGAGGAAAGGTGGTAGAATACTCGGAGTCGGGATGCAACTTTTCGACTTCGTCAATCTCGGCGATGATCCAATTTTGCAATCCTGGATAGAGTGCTAGACACATGATAGCATACGAGAGGGTATTTGCCGTAGTATCAAATCCTCCGACGGTCTGTATTTAATTAGAACTATTCCGGGCGATTTTCAAATGAACTCATTCTGAACTTACCATGGCAAATAAATTTCCAGTAACGTCTTCATTTGATAGATACGTTGACGTTTTTGAGCGTGAAAAATCCGTACCCTGGTCGGCAATTTTCACCAAGGAAGTGAGGAGGGAATTTCGAGAACTGGGAGAACGTCTTTCTTCGGCTATACTGTGGTTTAGGTGAAGGGGAAACTCGGCTTTGGCAATACCCATTTTCTGGACGGCAGTCGGCATGTACTTTAGAGTTAAGTATTTCGTTGGTATGAATACCGTAGCAAATAGATTGTGTACTATAGTCAACAAACACGATATGAAAGTAGTTTCGAATCCTTCGGGGGGGGTTTTCGCATTCACGGCTTCCCCCCAAGATTGACGAGTACCGAAGCAAACGAACGTAATCACATTGATAGTGATGGTCCTCAGGCCTTCGAATGTGACATTAGTCGAGCTTGATTCATCGTTTATGGATAGCTTTGACAATGTAGAAACCATATCTCGAGTTTGCGTTAGAGATTCATCCCAGACTTCTTTCATGATTCGCTCATTCAAAGCAGGCGCTACAATTCTTCGATGTCTTTGCCAATTTTCTCCTTCCGAAGCACTTATATTGGGCCCCCAAACATCCATAACCCCTACACCCAAGTCAGCTTTTGTATTCGCTCGACAGAGACAAGAGGAAACACTCACGGAGGGCAATTTGATTTTTTGCAAAATCTTTTCTTCTCGTTAAAGCCTCCTCAGCTACTTCAGCGTCTCCGACAAAGATTGTGTTTTTCCCAGGTGTAACAAGAATAAACGAAGTACCCCATTTTTCATGAACAAAATGCTTGCAATAATGTTCCCATGCGGGGATTGTTATCTTAACCCTATCGAAGATGAATTGAGGCAAAACCTTTGATAGATTCGAGTAACCGACAGTTGCACAAATGATAAGCCTATGAATGATTGTGTTTGAGAAGATGAGATGAGAATGACAGTAGGGGAGTAATCACTAACCATAATGGATTTGCCGCACCCCATAAGCCAAATTTAATAGGCAAGCCGGAATTTTTCGCAGCACGATAATTACTTGGCAGAGCAGATAGATACCATATTGTGAAGGCTAAAATCAGCAATACTGAGGTCAAAAGAATCCCCATTTTCGATAACTTCCTCGAAGATTGTTGACAGTTGACTTTATCGGATTCTGGGAGGGATGCAGTTCATATATATATATGTCGGTTGCAACCAACACTATGTTCAACATGACCTTCGTTGGCACTTGCCTGCATACATAGAGCTGTATCCTAGTATTTGCGGGACCATAAATGCCCAATAGGACATTGATAACGCAAAACAGTTGCTGTACTCCGTCGCTAGGAGGCTTTTGATGGTCTAAGAAGTGACTTCGGTTGCTAACCGATACAGTTCCTGGGGATTTAGTGTGTAACCTACGGTAGTTTCGCCGATCTCATTCGATCTCAACGGGTTTCAAACGCTGCCCTTGAATTCAAAGCGAGATGTAGGACACCAAATAGAATAGCACCAAAAGAAACTAGAACGTCTGAAGAAATGCCCCAGAAAAGGCAAACAATCGAAGAATTGATTGCGGGCGTAATCTTGTTAGGGATAAAACTTACAGGGTCGGTTGGGTAAAGTATGGCTAAATGCAAAAGATGTGTTTGGATTGGCCAATTAAATCTTTCCCCGAGATCAGTCCCAAACCCTCGGTATCGACACACCATTTTGAATATCCTAGTTTAGAACTGACAATCAATTGAAATGCTTTTTGATAACGTATTTCAATACACATATTTGAAGCAATCCTTTGAAAGTTCAAAACCCGATAGCATTTTTCAAAGTCTGTTTTGGTGTTCGGATTGCGCGAGACAGGCTTTAAACGATATCTTAGAATCGATTGGCTCCCCCCCTCCTGCGTCTTCTATTCATTTAACAAGTCGAATCGAGGCCGAATGAGTATATTCGGATTTGATCATAGAATCAAATCAGATCTTTACTCAGAAGACCAGAACCATTCCCCAACCAAACCAAAAAAAGTACCATAACACGTTCGAGCATTCGTGTCCACAAGCATTGGTTTCTGATTCTAGAAGTGATAGCAAGAGCCTTTTGAGCACACAGTGTGTATTCATGGTCAATCCAAGTTGGATTATATCGATCACTCGAGTCTCACAAGTGCTCTGTCCAAGCTACCATTCTTTCACCGTAGTGTCCAACAAACTTCTTTATGAAATCATCCAGTGTACCTTCCCAGAAAGTTTCATGGGGCTGGAATTTCACTTCTAGAGTGTGTACCATTCATTTGGTGCTTTTCAAATCTAGTGCACCCTTTCACAACTTTACTTAGGTTACTTTGATGACTGCAGCGACTACGAATTTGATGATTGCAGATATGATGACCAGAAAGTTTATGGTCGAAATGGTACTGCCATTGAAATACCACGGGAAGCGAGGGTCCGTATTGCTATTGGGCCTGTTGTGGCACGTTGCATTCAGAATGCCAATTCTAGTCGAGATGATTTTTGGCCCCATTGTATATATTGATTCCACTAGGTGGTCTTTGATAAAACAGAATCCTGCTGTCGTGAGCTGTCATAATATTGGTTGGTGATTCTCCTCATTTCAAGCGAGAAGTTCTCAGCTGGAAGGCATTATGTGCCAAAATGAAGGAAAACATAACGAAAAATGGGTACTTACAAAACGCTCTTGATTTTCTTCTTACGCTTCTGCTGAATGCGAATAAACTCAAGACAGCGGCCTGTTGGAAAGTTTGTGCCACTGCCACAGCCGATAGGCTTGTCCATAAACTTATAGTCAAGACCACGCAGGCCCTTGAGAAGAAGATTCGCTCGCGGCTTGCCCAAATCAGAGAAACTCAAACATCTACCGAGAATAACAATATGGAGTTACAGAACAACTATTCTTTCCTATCTCTGTCGCTTGTCTGTTCTTACCTGCAGGTGGTACTGTCTCAAAGTCTTGACTCAAAGATCCATCTCGCAATAATATGCTATTATCTTGAGACGATCCGTCCTATTCGTTATAATATCGATGGTATAGCTCTTGTAAGTTTTCTCAAGCACAATTCTCGCCTCAAGATACATTGAAGGTATCTTGACAAAGAGGGAAAGCTTGTGGCAAGATTTTAATGCGCAGCTTTCAGCGATTTCTAACTTTCAAATTACCACTCAAAATCGTGATGTGCGATATTAGATTCGCTTCCACGATAGATCAAACGATGGGATGTTGGAGCCCATTCATTGGTGGTCTTGTATCGAATTGTGTTTCCCAGCTGTTACTCCTCCCATAAGGAAAGAATACGCGTGAAAGAGCATTCGGCTTTTCTTACTTGATCACTTCGCCGTCAAGAAGGTTTCACAACCACTTGTTCTTTGAGAAGTTTATTTTTCCTGCTTTTGCTATGCAGATGAGACATACGAGAGAGCGAATGCGTACAGCTTGAACAAGAGACGAAACAATTGAAAGCAGTGTTGTTTCAATTGGGACATTGGCCTATATCGCGTAGACGTTTAATATGTTCAGTGAAGATGATGATACTTTTGGTCGAGATACTTGCTGAGAGAAAGGGCGTGGGAGAATCACATGTGACATGAGATCCTAGTGGGTTTTTGGATAATGCTCAAGAAGAACCCCCTGATCATATCAATTGAATTGAACCGGATCTCTCCTATGAGAAGTGAACGAGAAATCTGAGACATTTTCATAAATCAAGGACTTTCGGCGCAGTACGAACGTGATAGGCCACAGTGTCTGGTGTCTGATCAGAAATATCTATCTTAATCACAATATCTCGAAATAAGCTAAACAATTCAAAACAGAAGGCTGTTCGAGAATTAGCGAGAGGCAGTGAATACCACCGCTTGTTCATGCAGGGTAGGAAACTCCTGTCAATCTATCCAACTCATTGGTCGAGGCGAAGTACTGTCCATCCAACCAGGGATGATGCATATGCACCAACGTTCGAATCTGATTCTAGATGTACAGACGGCCATAGCGGGCGCAAAGCCTACCACATAATAAATCATGATACAAAGATTCATTCGTGACCGTGAGTATCTTAGCTTCTAACCAAGATTAATCCGCGTATATGATACGATGCAATCTTTGTAGAAATCGATTACTCAGGAAGGGGAAATATGATTCATCTGAACCCTTTCGTTTCTCACAACCGCTAGTGAATATATTCTTCTTCGGTAGAATTTGAGATAAAACATAGTCTGTCTGGGCAGCATAAATTGAATACGAAGAGGGTCTCCACCTTACAAGACGATACACGGCACTTGGTTTACAGAATAATGTTTATACACTTGAAAGACCACATAGCAATTGTCTCATGCCCGGATTTCCGGCGTGTGTCCTCCCTATCCCGCGCTTATATAACTCAGTCTTCGTAAGTTCGTACCCGACAAAAATAAACTAGCGGCCGCAATTACGAGACTCCATTATATTTACGAGTATCAACGCACTTGAAATTTTCCATTCGAGTTTCGATCATTTCAATGAAATCCACCTGGTGATCGTACTTTTCCACTTACATAATCAGATGACATTCCCGAACACTTCTCGTTCTTACGCATATGAGAACGGAACTTCCCATTCTTAGTATCATCCGAAATTCAGACGGCATTTATATTCGTCCGAATGTAAAGCCGGCCAATTCAGAATTACCAACACCAAAAGGACACGACAGAGACAAAAAAAAGTCCTACATGTGCTTGCATATCAGATGATTCTGGGCGCATGGAAATCCCGTGGCATTACATCGTGGCATGACAAGTTCCCCAATATCTGAGCCACGATCCCCAGATCAAATCATCAAACCACCAAAACGTAACGACCAGTCCAAGCTCGGCGTCCAATCTGACGTTACAGTCTTTGGGGGCGGAGGACGAAACGTCCTTAGATTCTCCGTATAACTGCTCGTATAAAAACCAAGTTGTTTATTCGATGGATCTGGATGTTGACTCTTCTAGCGTCTCTAGTTTCTCTCCGCCAACCAATGAGCATCCGAAACCCCTCAAAGTACTCTCTATTCATTTGGGAAAACTCGAAAAAGCCTAGTAAGGATTGACAATTTAAGCTTCTTGTGGGTTAGGGTTGTGGTATAGACGGAGAGTTGTTTGATTCGTTTGTACATCAGATTATCCAGCAAACACCTTGAAATTTTATTAAACACTTCTATTTTGGAACATTTTACGGTAATTTCTACCCCATTCCAAGGCGAGCTAATTAGTCCTAAAAACCAGCATCCTTGCTAGGCTTTTTCGAATTATCCAACCGAATACGGTATATACGAACATGCCTGTTAATAAAATCGAATCTACGTATCACGGACAACGGGACTCGGACTCAGCCTTATGCCGATCCGTAATCACGCACGTAAAATAATTGACATGAACCCCGATCGAGAGATTGGCTACATTTTTAACTTGGTTCTCGTGGTAAGTTTCTATTGAGTCTCGAGTCTTGACCCTTTAGATACTTAGGCTACAATCAATCAAGTGGAATTACGCCGACGGATTGCATTCCTTGTCCCGTCTTGGAAGTTGGTACGGTGAGTCAATTCTGTTTATTTAATATATGTATCAGGGTGTTCCCATCTGAAAGCTTTGTTTCCCCAAAGCTTAATCACATATGCTTGTCACATAAATATTCGAAAGATACCTACTACAACTTTTTATCTCAAGAGTTGATTCATCTTTGCCGCAATGGGAAATACACATTCACATCATCACGACCATGAGTCGAGACAAGATTCCAATTCTCGATGTCCATATAAACGAACCTCCAGAACAAACTCTGAACATTCAAACCATTCATCATCTACGTCACCCACCTCATCTCCATCAGTATCACGCTCACAATCCACTCGATCTCCTTCATCGCCGCGAAAGTTCCTGGGGCGTCATTCACTCTCATTGAATGATTCACATAAAATACGAGAACAGACCATACAAGAGCCGGAAACAAGACCTCCGATTAGGATTGGATATCCTTATTATGAAGATGTTACCATGTTGGCGGAGAAGAAAGGGAAGAAGCATAAGAGGCATAGTTTGAGGGGTCGATGAGATCGTGGTTATCTCATCACTTTTTCGAGGCTGGTTATCGAATCTTATGGATGAATTCGTGGAGATCAAGCGATGGAGAAGGAATTACGCAACGAAGCTTATGAGATGGGAAGGTATTTTATTATTTGGGCATCGGGAGTACAGCGAGATGGGGATTTACGGGATAGAGGATTGGGACAGCGGATGATATTTTGATACCCAAAGTCATTTTTGCATTTACTCGGCGTACAATATATCGATAGGGCGGGCGTATTGGAAGAGGCATGGAATATGGCACTCTATTACAAACTTGAAATTTAAAAAAAATTCAAACAATCATCTAGCCAACTTTACTCTGATCTCCTAAGAATGTAATCATCCCTTGTCATGATGAGTGTGTTATGATCAAAACACCATTGCGCCCCTTCTACAAAACATACATACATCACACCGATCCAAAACCCTAGGACCGATAATATTCAGGCCATCTCTAATAAATCTCAAAACATATCCGAAGGGCTAACAGGGACTTGGAGCAATGCTAAGAGTGCAGCGGCAATCGTAGGTCCCAGGGCTGTAATAGCCCTAGGATTGAAAGTGATGGTCCAGACATTATTTATCGTGCATCCAGATGCGATAGGAACGCCATTGAACCTATCGATTAGAAACGTGAACGCATCACCAGCGCCAGTGATTGCCTCGCTAGCATGCCCCCCAAACATATCACGAGCATATTTGATACTAGCTCCTTGAGAACAAAGCTTGCTGACAACTACATCTGTATCCTCCACTTTCGAAACCTCATCGCCGATCGCTTTGTAGAGAAATATCGGCATCTTCGGGGTCCCATATATACCCATTTGTCCGGTAATGGCCAGGACATCCTTTGCAATACTGGTGAACAGGGTTGATAGTCCGTTATCAAGATATAAACCTATATCTTGACCAAGGAAACTTGCGATATTGCTACCTAAACATTGAGTTGATGCTTTGTAAAACTTAGAAGCTGTTGATGGGACAAGGTTTTTGAGGAGATATTCTTTCAGTTCTGGGTAGCCATTGGTAAGTCCGATGACTCCAGCGGGGATCAAACCGGTGAAGAGACCTTTGTTAGAGGAGAGCATCACAGATGTGATATTCGGTACAAGGCCACCCAAAGCAGTTCCCTTGAAGTTAAGCTCTGGTGCATAGAAAGGTTGAAGTTCCGCAGCCCATTCAGAAGCCAGAGATCCGCCTGAGTAACCCCACATTTGATACTCGGCTTGAGATGAAATGCTAGTCAAATCCCCGGATGACAGAGCCGCACGAACAGAATCAAGAGTCGCTTGACCAGCTTGTATACCGGATGTGAAGGCTGATTGAAGACCCTCGTAATCAGGAAGATTGACTATCCAGCCTTGATTGAGAGCAGCAATGACGAGCAAGGTCTCGGCCGCACCAGAGCCCCCATTTTTAAGGCTTGACCCCAACTGTAATATATAAGATGGTGCACAATTTGGCCAGGCAGCATCTGTCGCCATTTGGTAGGATAGTAACCTCGATGAATTGGCATTTTTTGGCACAACAATTGTTGTGACCGCTGCTGATGCATCCCCTAAGCTATCAGTCGTTCTATACAGAAGTTGGTATGCGGCTTCAACTTGGAATGGCATAACACCTCCAATTGAAAGATCGTCTATTGATCTGCTGCGTAATATCGTGCCCGGTGGAGAGTTCTCGAGTCCTGTTGGTGGGACATAGAAGGGATCATCTGTGGGAGGTATTGGGAGTAAACGCTGCGAAATTTGATCACTAGTCGGGACTGCAACTGTGGTAGTTACCCAAAGGAAAATGTACCAAATAGCCGCGAAAATGAACCTCATCTTTACGAACTGTACAAAAATAACCAAATTCAAAAGAATAAAAAACGAACAGAATTGTAGCGACAATTGAAAAGATGAGAAAGCATGGCAAATAGAATACAAAGGTACATACCGGCAGATTTATATGAAAACTTCATATTCAAGCTCTGCCATCGCTGATATATATTCAGACACGTGAACATGTTTTCTCAGTATCCAGCCTCTGAACATGATTAAGGGTAACACGAGATGTGAGTCTTGTGTAGAATTTGCAGCTTGCAGATGGACGGCCACGTTGATCTTATACTTTAAACCGAGTTGTTTACTGTGAGCAGATCGCACTTCGATCAGGTCGAAGACCCTTAACTTTTCGGAGATATTGATCATTATATTAAGAGATTTGGAAAATCTGGGACAACGAATTGTTAGAAGTCTGCAAACTCATTGCTGATTAAAGTTTTGCGAGAGGACTGTGATGCGGCAAGGGGAGGTAAATCCTCACTTAAACAGGTAAGGTTATATAACCTGTAGTGGGAAATCAGTCACGTGGAATTAACCCTAAAGCAAGTTAAGCCTTAACGTCAGTCATTTGATTGTCACACTATGCTGAAGCGAAACGACCGAGCTAGCTTTTAGTCTTGAGAAAACTAGACGATCAACGTCGATGCCACATGGAATATAATTAGATCGTGCTTTCTGGCTCATTTCCATGAGGCCAAGAAAAGCTTATAGGCGGCTCGCTCCCATTGTCCAAACTCATTTTGAACACGATCAAATGACACCGCCTCAACACTTCAACTTACAAATGCAAAAAGCCACGAGATAATTCTACTCCATTGCCCAAGTCCGAATGGAACATCAAGCTGTCGTTAGCCAGTTCGTGGGGTTTCCTGGGGTAACTGTGTTGCTCCCACCACGTTAAAGGGATCCCTTTGAGAGGCTTGGAAAGACGCCTCTCTCATCATCAATTGAAAATGTCCCTATATCCGTATCCCTTTTTGGTATCCTTCAATCCGAAACACAACCTTAAAGTATGATCAATACTAGCTGACTGTGGGGTTTTGGCATTCGACCAATAGCTTCAAGGAAGCTATACTATATTTAACTTGGAGCCGTATTAACCTTGATTTCATTTCCGCCGAGACAATATCTTACAAGCCTTGATGAAAAAATCCCATTCTACACTGAAAACTTCGTAAGGGATGAGCGGGATGGGATGACAGTGATCATGTCAATGTGTTAGGTATCTTTTTGTAATGTCACCCTGCACGGTTCAACTCAGCTGGCCTTTTGAATGATGATCATCACTGTAGCTGGCCAAAGTTATTGGCATGGCTTTCCAAGCAAGCGCTGGTTGTGGATTGAATGCAATTATACTTTGTACACATAAATTGCATTTCTCACTCACAATGGAAGGAGGGTAATTTCTTGGTCAATTGATTATCAATTCTTCATTATGTTGTCTATAATCATTCATCTGCTATTCACAATAGCTTCTGCTGCTGTTCTCTCGGACAGACAGACGTTATCAGGTAGTGATGTTTGTCAGCAAATACGCGGAAACATTACCGGCGAGGTCTACTTCCCCTTGAGTTTGGGGCCTAACTTTAAGGAAGATAATGAGCATTATATGTCATCCAGTGTATGTTTTTGACCCACTTATCCTTACAAAGGAAGTTTTCTTTTGTCTTCTCCTCAATGAAGGAGCAAGAAAAAGAAGGGGCCGAAGGATTGCGAATGCTGATGATATTTTTCTTATAGTCACAGATACCAATGTGCGTTGTTGAAGTTGCTAGCGATACAGATGTTTCTACCGTCATTAAGATTGTAGGATCTCGGAGAATTCCCTGGGGAGTCAAATCTGGTGGACATGCGTCAAATCCTGGATTCACTAGTACTCCTGGAGTCTTCATTTCTCTAGCGAGATTGACTCAGGTTACACTTGCCGAGGACCAAAGCACAGTGGAGTTAGGTACCGGAAATGTAGGTTGCTCTACCAAGGCCCTGCTTGTGCTGATAAATATTAACATATAAATAGCGTTGGACCGATGTTTACTCCACCCTCGACGGAACTGGTGTTAATGTTGTCGGGGGACGTGTCGTTGGTCCTGGTGTCGGTGGCTTCACTCTTGGAGGGGGTTATTCCTGGTTGACAGACCAATACGGTCTGACTTGCGACACAGTTATCTCCTACAATCTTGTTCTTCCTAATGGCACCACAACCAAAGTTGATGAGTCGAATCCTGATCTCTTCTTCGCCCTTAAAGGTGGTTTAAATCGATTCGGAATTGTCACGAGCATCGTTCTCAAAACGGTTCCACAGAGGCACATGGTATACGGCGGTATTCAAATATATGGGGTTGATGCAATTCCTGGTCTTATCAACGCCACGAATACATTTCAACAAGAGAATACAGATGCTAAAGCCCAGGTGATTCTCACCATCAATGGTGGTTTGGTCCCGAATGCCATCCTTATTTCATTCTACGATGGTCCAACTCGACCTGCAGCGTTTGATCCTTTCAACAATGTTGGCGCCGTTCCATTAATATCCAATGTCGAACCTCAAACTTTCGCATCGTTTTCTAAAGTCACTCCGTCCAATCTCCAAGCTGGATATAGGGGAGCCTTTCATACCATGATGACTACTAGTCTCACAGTCGGCTTTATGCAAGCAGTCCATAATGAATCTAGCTTTTATGGAGCTCTCGCTATCCTTCATAGTGGAACGTTCATCTCGTACGACATTGAGCCTTTTACCGACTACGGCAAATACGCCACCGATTCTGCGTTTCCCCACGCCAATTCTCCACTGCCATTGAATCTCTATTTTGCTTGGACGTTGGCGATCGAAGACGAATTTTGGAGAGGGATCATGCAACAGAGCATCGACCATCTCACTGAGGTGGCTAAACAGGAGGGTATTTATTCCGAAGATCAATATGCGTATCCGAACTACGCTTTGAGCACTTATGGCGGCGCCCAAATTTATGGACCAACAAATGCAGCACGGTTGAGAGCAATTCAGACAAAGTATGATCCAAATGGAATTATGCTTCTTGCTGATGGGTTCAATATCTAGGGGTTTGTGTTGATTGTCAATGGTAGTGAAGGAAGTATCTAAGTAATTTTTATTGGATTAACAACATAAAGTTGGCGAAATTTACCAATAATATTGAATCCTTCGAGGTGATGATAGATGATTGAAAAACAGAGCTCCTGAAATGCCTGAATTTGTTGAATAACATCCATTTGGATTCATGTTGAACAGTATATAAGGAAAGTGGTACGCAGGTCCGTTTTGTCGTGCCACCACCAAAAAATCATACTCATATTTTGAATGTACGAATCAATCCAGATTATGTCGAGAGGACTCTTTGGAATAACTTTCCATTGGAGTTTTAGCACTTTTGAAACTAATGAAGAAAAATCTTGAATTTTGATCTGGCATTTAACTTCTTTTTGTTGTCCTCGGTGTACGTGGTGTGAGCGAATTGCATTGATGAGAATAGTCACAGTATATTCGTTTTTTAATCAACCGCATATGATCTCGATTATGTGAGAATATAGTCGAGATACTTACTTCAAAACATATCTGACGGCATATTTAAAATCAAATTCTGATAGATCTTTAATTTATAAGAATTTTGGTTGTCTACGACTTGTAGCCTCTCGTCCCACACGAAAATCGAGCTCCAAATCCACCAACCAATCAAAACAAAGCCCATCGTAATCCTTACCGAACCACCTCAAATTTCAATTCCACTCCGAATCCACCCTAACACTCAATTGTATCCCACACCAGCATCACTCTACCTCTCCTCCCCATCTCAGCACACCACACAACAGACGCCGACGATGGCATCACTATTCACATCCCGCGCACTCCTGCGCAGTGCCCCTCGCACATTCTCTGCCGCAACTCCTGCCTTCCGCGCCCTCTCTACCACTCCAGTTCGTCCCGATGCCTCCGCTTCCACCACGGATAGATTCAGCAACATTCCAGATTTCAGCAAATACAGAAGTAAGAAGAGTGGTGGAAGTAATTTGGTTTATCAATACTTTATGGTGGGAGCTATGGGTGCTTTGACAGCCGCGGGGGCAAAGGCTACTGTTCAAGGTTTGTCTTTTTTTCCCTCTCTTTGGATATGGGATGAGATTTCAGGTCTGCGCAATGAAGGATCGTTGAATATTGGCATGGATGTTACGACCGACGAGAGAGCTGGAGAATATGTTACGCACTGCAATTGAAAGAACTGCACTCACTGGACCCATTGACTGACGACATACTTTCAACAGATTTCCTCGTCAACATGTCCGCATCCGCAGATGTTTTGGCCATGGCCAAGGTTGAGGTTGATTTGAATGCTATTCCTGAGGGCAAGAACGTACGTTCAATATCGATACACCCACCCTTTCCGACATGATCAAAAAACAAATTCCTGACATGAATACACAAAATAGGTCATTATCAAGTGGCGTGGAAAGCCCGTCTTCATCAGACACAGAACCGCCGATGAGATCAAGGAAGCAGAGAACGTTAAAGTCGAGACTTTGAGAGATCCACAATCCGACGCCGACCGTGTCAAGAAGCCAGAATGGTTGGTTATGGTTGGTATGTATTATATTTTTCACAATCTATACGGTCAAGGCGATGCAATATATTAATGAAGAATCAAATAGGTGTCTGCACACATCTTGGATGTGTCCCAATTGGTGAAGCTGGCGATTTCGGAGGATGGTTCTGCCCATGTCACGGTTCCCACTACGATATTTCCGGCCGTATAAGAAAGGGACCTGCTCCATTGAACTTGGAGGTCCCAGAATATGATTTCGCTGAAGAATCTTCTTTGGTCATTGGTTAAATTAGAGGATCGAGTGGAGAGCGATTTTGTAGTTGTATAAAATTGGAGGAGTGTGGATGGACGGAAGAGTCGAAGATAGATGAAACAACGTTTTTAGTTTGAACGAGAGAGAATGATAGACCTTGATCTGGAAGCGTTATGGCTCTGTAGAAGGGGTGGTGGAATGGCCTTTGTACAAAAGATCGGATAAATGATATCGCTTCGAAAAGTTTCAAATTTTGGATTCCACCACTATGATTATGGTTGCTTTGCATGTGGCATAAAAGTCTCTGAGTGATTTGCTCAATGAGTAGGCTTCTGGCATGATCGAGAAGGTCAAAAATTCACAACTGGGAAATAGACGAGTTACAGGTAAATGCTTTCTTTTGATTCACATTATCATATCCCGTAATATTACATCTCCTTCATATGTAGGTCATTTCTTCATCTAAAAGCCATCAATCATCAATGTCCATGTCCATCATCCTCTCTCTGTTCCGGATCCAGCTTAATCAAGGTATCTATCCTCATGATGGAAATACAAGCTTCAACCGCCGATTTCAATTGTCGAATCTTGCTCATACTTGGCTCCAAAACACCAGCCTTAATCTCATCCACTACTTTACCCTTCAACAAATCCAACCCGTAGTTCTTGTAGTTCTTCTTCTTGGCAATAGTCTTTTCGTCCTCGTTAGCATCGCCATCCTTAATACGTTGCGATAGAGCGTGTCGGGAACGGAGCTGCGCAACCAATTCAGATGAGTCTTTAGCGGCATTGACAGCGAGGGTTTTTGGGATAACGAGGAGAGCTTGAGCAAATTCGCCAATGGCAAGTTGCTCTCTTGAGCCAACGGTACCGGCAAATTCTTCCAAATAGATGTGGAGTGCAGTCTCACACGCACCACCTCCTGGAACGATACTTCCGCTCTCTAAGGTTCGCTTAACAGCGCATAGAGAATCGTGAACGGATCTCTCCATCTCGTCGAGTTGATAATCGTTGGGTCCTCTAAGAATGATGGATGCAGAGGTGTGAACTTTGGTACCCTTAACCAAAATACATTCATCGTCGGAAATTCTCTCCTGAACAACTTCTTCAGCATGTCCTAATGAAGATGCTTCGAATTTCTCATCACCGTTCAAATCAGACAATGAGCTGATCAAGGTAGCGCCGGTTGCCTTTGCTATTCTTCTCAAGTCCTCCTTCTTACATCTTCGAACAGCCATGGCGCCCTTCTCAATGAAGAGTTTCAGGCACATGTCGTCAATACCCTTTGTCGTCATAACCACATTTGCTCCAGCCTTGAGGATCATATCAATTCGGTCCATAACAATACCAGCTTCTCTCTTTCGGATTTCTTCTAATTGTGTTGGATCGTCGATCGTAATGTTGACACCGAGCTTCATTCTCTCCTTCTGTAAGTTGATATCTAAAATGGCAATCTTGGCATCCGTAATTCTGGTCTTCATTGCTTGTGATGCAACCGTGCAGTTCAAAGCATAACCCTTGACCAAAATAGACTCCAAAGCCCCTTTACCGTGTGCTTTTAAGATGTTGACAGCCTTGACTGGGTATTTAACTTCCTGTCGAGTATTTGTTGATTTAACTGCCTGCATAGCATCTACAACCATGTTTGCAAAGAAATCAGAATCAGATCCAATAATCTTACTCGACATGGAAGTTTTGGCGATGCTGATTAAAGAGTCCCGACCCAACTGGTCCACCTTCACACTGATGTTCTCGTGCATGTACTTGACAGCTTCACGGAGTGCTAAACGGTAACCAGTGATGATTGTGGTAGGATGTATACGGTTCTTCATAAGTTCGTTGGCTCTTCGAAGAAGCTCTGCTGCAATAATAACCACAGATGTTGTTCCATCTCCAACTTCTTTATCTTGTTGCTGTGCCAAGTCGACCAAGATCTTGCCTGCTGGATGTTCGACATCTAATAAACTCAGAATAGTTGCGCCATCGTTTGTGACTGTAACGTCCTGCCTGAAATTAGTATATGGTGGGGTTCTTTTGGAGTGGACAAGCATACTCCTATATCATCTACCATCATTTTGTCCAAACCACTTGGACCAAATGAACTTTTGACAACATTGGCAATAGCCTGGGTTGCAAGAACTATGAACAAGGTTAGTTCATATCTTATTCGTAAATATTTTGGCTCATACCATTTTGATCTCGAATATCTTGTCCACTGATCTTTTGGCCGCCGAGGACTACATGTTATTAGCATTTTTACCAGCAAAATTTCCAAGTGCAAACATACACAAAGTTCCAGCATTTCTAGGTTGTTCAAAAAGGGACCCCATATTGTTGATATTCTTAAAATGGCGGAAACTCTTCTGGTAATATTTCTTCTTCGTCGTCGCGAGAGAGAAAAGGGACGCGAGAGCTTTCCCACGCTAATATTTTTAAGCATTTGGCCTTGAAAATTAAGGCAAGAGCTCAGCCTCGTCGAAGTACTTAGTGGGGCTGACCAGGCCAGGGGAAAGTCCACTAATAAATCGCAAGCCTGATTAAATCCTTGTCGCTTAAATTTTAGGGCGGGGGAATAGTTGAAGGGAGTCAAATGAATCAGTCACTCGATTAAATAAACAAAAGTAACTCTCTGCCTTCACACTTTCACCACCAACAACCAACACAGCCATGGCGGACTCCAATACTCCAGAAGTTGCGCAAGAAGGGCCATCTAAAAGTGCCTTGAAAAAAGCCGCCAAGGAAGCAAAAATGGCTGCAGATAAAGCCGCGAAAGCTGCTAAGAATGCTGCGCTTCCTGTAGTGGGGGGTAAGAAAACAGATGATATTATTGGTATTACAGTCAAGAAATCTGAAGACTTCTCACAATGGTATCAAGAGGTTGTTTTGAAGGCGGAGATGATCGAGTACTATAATGAAATCTCCGGTTTCTTTATTTTACGTCCTCAATCTATGTTTATCTGGAACCAAATTCGAAATTGGTTTCAAGCAAAAATCGAGACACTTGATGTAGAGGAGGCTAGTTTCCCCATGTTCTTGTCTTCAAAGTCATTGGAGAAAGAGAAGGATCACGTTGAGGGTTTTGCTCCTGAGCTTGCTTGGGTTACTAAAGCGTAAGTTTCACCATCCTATTCTCTCTTACCCCGCTATACTAATTGTGATAAAGTGGTGATAAAGATCTCGAAGTTCCTGTTGCAGTCCGTCCTACCTCAGAAGCTGTTATGTACCCATACTACTCAAAATGGATCCGAAGTCATCGCGACCTTCCTTTACGATTGAACCAGTGGAACAGTGTCGTTCGTTGGGAAGCCAAACAAACAACTCCATTCTTGAGAGCTAGAGAATTCTTATGGCAGGAAGGACATACCGCACATCTTACAGAAGAACTCGCTGGGGAGGAAGTTCTTCAGATTCTCGAATTTTATGCTGGTGTTTATGAACAATTATTGGCAGTTCCAGTTGTCCGTGGTCGCAAAACCGAGAAAGAAAAGTTCGCAGGAGGATACTATACTACAACAGTCGAAGGTTATATTCCCTCTAATGGACGTGGTATTCAAGGTGCTACTTCTCACTGCCTTGGTCAAAACTTCAGTAAGATGTTCGATATTACTGTCGAGGATCCAACCCCAAAGAACGGAGAAAAGGCTGGCCATCTTCACGTCTGGCAAAACTCTTGGGGTCTTTCTACTCGTGTTATCGGTGTTATGGTCATGATTCACGGTGATGACAAAGGACTTGTTCTCCCACCCCGTATCGCAAAACTTCAAGCCATTATCGTCCCAGTCGGTATTACAAATAAAACTACCCCTGAAGAAAAGGCCAAGAGGTACGACGAACTACAAAACATTAAGGATACTCTCAAGAAAGCTGGTGTTCGCGCCGATTATGATATCCGTGATGGATATACTCCAGCTTGGAAATTTAACGATTGGGAATTAAAGGGTGTTCCTCTCCGTCTCGAATATGGCCCAAGAGATGCTGCCCAAGAAGTTGTCTCCTACGCCCGTCGTGATACCGGTGAGAAGGGCACAATTGCGATCGCAAACCTCTCAACTGAAGTGCCCTCTCTCCTCGAAACCATCCAAAGCTCTCTTTACACAAAGGCCGAAGCAGCATTCAAAGCTCACAGACTGGTCATCAACAACTGGAGCGAAGTTGTCCCTGCACTTGATGCCAAGAATGTTGTTCTTATTCCATCCTGCTTGGGCGAGAAGTGCGAAGATAAGATTAAGGACTTGACCAAGGGAGGTGCTAGTGAAGAAGTTGGGCCTGATGGAAATAAGGTACCAACAATGGGAATGAAGAGTTTGTGCATTCCATTTGAGCAACCTGAAGGTCTCGTCAAGGGTGAAACCAAATGTTTGAACCCAGAGTGTGGAGTTTTGGCAGAGAAATACTGCATGTACGGAAGAAGTTATTAGATTATTTTGCGTAGGGATGGGTTTGAGGAGTTTAGAGACAATGAAAAGATTGAAGGCATGGATGGAGGAATGAAAGAAATATGATGGATGAATGATGATCAAGATGAATATCTCAACCTGAGTTCAATGACTAGATAGCGAGAAAGCGCTTAGTATAAGTTGTTTTCCTGACTAGGTTTAGAGCGTTTAGCTGCTTCTCGATATAGGTGGTGCAAGTAAGAAAAAAAGAAATGAAGAAATAAAAAAGATACAAGCATAATCTCTAAAAGTGCATTTTATTTTCCCTAACCTAGTTGAACTCCTTAGATAATATACCTACTCCAAATGTGGAATAGCATTTTTGTGACTGGTGATAGGAATATCCTTATATCCTTACATCTACCCTCCTCATAATTTCACATTCTCATCTCCTCTCCGAATCCAGAAAACACGATTTCTATATCCCCTCCCCCTCCCCTTCCCCTTCCCCTTCCCTCCTCAACTCTTCAACTCTCAAGCGAACCCCCCCTAATCATCATTTGATCTATTTTTCCAAATCCCCACCCTCTCTTCTCGAAGACTGATTTCTTGCCTAGAATTTAAATGAAATGACAATTTCACGTCATATCATATCACAGCACATTTACCCCCCCCCGCCTCCCCCTAATTCCATAACTCCAATCAAATGTCATGATTCTCATCACTCTCATCAACTCCATCAACCTCTTTCATTTTCACAACAACAACAAGAAGAAGAATAAAAATTTCTCAATTCCCAAATATATACTCACACACACTCACACTCACACTCACACAACAAAGTCAAGAAAATGATAAAAAATGACATAAAATAAGTGAATAAGTGAATAAGTG